GAGTTAGTTTCACGTCAGTCTAGTTTCACGTCTAGATTTCGTCACGTTGATTTCCGTCTAACTTCACGTTGATTTCAGTCTAACTTCACTCTTATTTCAGCCTGACTTCATTCTGGTTTCATTTTAACTTCACTCTGATTTCAGTCTAACCACTCTGATTCACTCTGCATTTTCTCTCTTTAGTCTAGCTTTACATTCTTTTCAGTCTAACCATTCTATTTTCAGTGTAACTTCACTCGATTTCATTCTAACTTCACCTTGATATCAGTCTAACTTCATTCTGTTTTCTCTCTCTGTTTAGTCTGACATTTCTGTACGCAATCTAACTTCGTTCAGTTTAACTTCACTCTGTTTTCTCTATGTCTTCAGTCTAATTTGACTGTATATTCTCTCTTTACATTCTTTTCAGTCTGTCTTCGCTTCTTTCTGTCTTCAGTCTGTTTTTAAAGTTCTTACTTTAGTTTTTTCGTTGGTGTGTATTTTAGTGAATCTGCATTTTGCCTTAATTCTTTTTACCTCTGATCTCATTCTCTCTTCAGTATGATCTACGTTCACACTTCCTTCACTCTGTTATTTATCGCCTCTTTCTCTATGTCTATATTTTATCATAGTTTTGTCTTGACACTGAGTTCATTCTAGCTTCAGTGTAATTTTTTCTTTCCGTCTTTGTTCTGCTTTCAATTTGCTTTCATTCTATAATCAGTTTGCCTTCAGTGTCATCATTCTACTGCTTTCACTAGCTTCAGTGTAATCTCTTCACTCTGCTTTCACTGCTTTCATTACCTTCACTCTACTCTCGGTTTCTCTTCACTCCGTCGTCATTCTATCCTCAGTTTTTCTTCACTTTACTTTCACTCTATCCTCAATCTGCCTCCACTCTGCTTTCACTCTCCTTTCATTTTATTTACACTCTGTCCTCAATTTCCCTTCATTCTGCTTTCAATCTACTTTCCTTCTCCTTTCAGTGTGTCTTCGCTACAACGAGGAAAATGTTGTCTTTGTACAGATTTTTCACACAAGTAGATTAGCCGAAGTTAGTTGTAAACGAGAAAAAAACAAAGGAATATCTGCCCTTGATTTTTTTTTTTTGAGTTTGAGTAAAAAGTATATAAAAAGGTTTGAGTAAAGTATAGACGATAGAATATTGAAGTCCGTGTATTTAGTGTGAGATCCTCTTGTATATATGTGTGCTGTGCTCGTGGTGTACTGTTGGTGGTGAAAAAATTTATTCTTATCTTATTATAATACTGGGAGGATAGAAAAAAAATGATAAGAAAAGTTACCAAGACAACTAAATGCTGCTATTACTATTATACTACGTAGTTGTGGTATTAGTAACAGCAGCAGGAGCAGAAACATTAGTAGTAGTAATAGTAGTAGTTGTTGTTATTAATGTCGATGTTGTTGTTGTTGCCATAGCAGCAATCAGGATATGAATGATGATGATTCAAGTACGAATCATGAAGATAAGATATATTTAACAATTATAAGGATGATAAATAAAACAACCAAGATAAAACTAGCAAATAAATGATAATACTCAAATATCAATAAATAACCTATAACCCCCCCCCCCCCACCCCGAAAAAAATAAGTAAAAATCGAACCAACAATAATTATCATAT